GGTATGGCTGTATATTTTTAGCCTAAAAAGTACACTTGTTGAATTATTGCATCAATAGCTTTGGCTTGTTTATATTCCTACGATAAAGCGAATGAAAACACACTTATGTTGGAAGACAGCTAGCTATGTGTCGACTGATTTTAAAGGCACAAATCAGAAACTGCAAAACAACTTTTGTTTTGCTTTTGCTCAGACTGTGAAAGTCAACCCCAGACCAGAGAAGGGAGGAAGAGATGAAAATAGAAAGTTTAGAAGAAAGAAAGGAGAAATGGAGGACGGGACAAAAACAGTGAGGCATTGCCAGGAACAGTTCACTCCCCCTGTCCTCCTCTCATTCCTCCTCTCTCCTGATGAGGGATCACTGGGGGAAATCCAAACACTGCAGGAATGTTATCATTGTATTGCATTAGCAGCATTCCCCTGGTTAATTTAATACAATGCAGACCTCTCTGTTTAACTAAACAGCTGTGTTCTGCCAATGTCACTAGTCTTTCTTCTGTCTGTGTTTTATACTTATCTGCTATTTGTATGTGTGGCTCTCTTATTACTTTATTCATTAAAAAACAATAATTAAAGTAGCCAGTTTCTTCTTTGTGGAGTAGTTTGATGAAAGAAAGGTCAACGATTGAAATGGGCACGCTCTCTTGTGAAAACGTGCTTGGGCTTTTCACTCCTGGTGGTTTGTCGCAGCAGCTTGTGCAGCTCCTTTTTTGGCAAAATGTAAAGGCAGAGCTGAGTAAGTTTCAGGGCTATGTTTAGCAATTAGCAGCCGAGGTAAAGTTGGCCGTTGTTCTGTTGGGATGGTACAGTGGGTCATTAAAGCGATGGGATCTGAAAAGCTGGGCCGAGCAGATGGGTGACTGGTTGCTGCTATAAAAGGGAACGTTGGAAGTTAAGATGTCAAATGTGTGCTGAGTTTTGCTGTAAGACTACGAAAATCCTCAGTTTTCAACATTGAAAAAGATGTTCAACTCAGCCAGGAATATTTAATAAAAAGTCTGTGAGATCTTTATTGCACAGCTTGAGCTTCCTTCCTTAGATAGACAACTTTTGTACTATTCATTTATAATGTTTTTGTTCAGTGCCCTGAGATAACTTATGTTGGGACGTAGCACTATATAAATAAACTGAATTGAATTGAATTACCTACAGATTCATGTGCATGTAATGAAAACAAACATTAATTTGTTTTCTGGTTAATAACTTATAGTTTTTGTGTACAAAGACATACTCTATGCAACATTTAGATTTCATTTTGACCCCACAAACTAGGGTGTTAGGCATGAAGGAAGAGGCTGTCCTTAGCTTTTTAGCTAGTGCACCTGCATTGCAAGCTGCTAGTTTAGCGTTACGTCAGTGCCGACAGGTGGTTGGGGGTGGGGGTGGGGTTCGGTAGACGGGGCGGGGCGCCTCGCTTATATAATGGTAGGGGAAACACTGAAGGGTAAAGAGGGGGTCCAGTGTTCCTTGACTGTGACAGACACCCAGTTGTTCCTCCTGAGTCCTAGATTTGAACATAGACCGGACTCTTCTCCAGTACCCGTGGAAAAACTTTACCGTGGAGGTTGAGGAGTGTGATCCCCCTGTAACTGAAGCACATCCTTCAGTCCTCCTGTTTTTTTAAAGTGAATCACCAGCCCATTCTGCCAGTGCAGTGGCACCAAGGCTACCCAGCAACATCCAGAGCCTTGTTCAGCTCTGACTGATTGACTCCACCCCCAGAGCCCTGCTGCCGTAGTGCTTTTTAACTGCCTCTGCAACCTCAGCCCGTGTTATGAACCAACCCCAAAGATTCCCACTCAGCTTCCTCAATAGAAGACACGCTGGTGGTGTTGAGAAGGTTCTCGAAATATTCTTCCTATTGCCTGATCCCATCACTGACTGAGGTCAACAACACCCCATCATAAAGTGCTGCTTTCCCCTAAGACGCCTGATTGTTGACCAGAATCTTCTTGGAGCTCATTCATTCTGAATCCAAGGCTTCGCGAACTCCTCCCAGATCCAAGCATTTGTCTCAGCAACAGCCAGGCGCTGCAGCTCGCTCGACCTACTGATACCCCTGAGCTTGGCTAGTAAGACCTGATAGGGTCTAATAATAATAAAAGGTCAACTTGGCAGCCTCCCTCACTCTGGGAAGCTATCTAGGTTTGAGGATAGACGCCACTTGAGGCACTAATAACCTTGTGACCACACTTTAAGGCAGCCACCTTGACAGTGGAAGCATGGAACATGGTCCTCTCAGACTCTCTGCCCGCCGCCTCCACTGGGATGCAATTGAAGTTCTGTCAAAGGTGGGAGTTGAAGATCACGTTCATGTGAATGCTATTTTATCCATTTTAGTTTTTTCAACACCATCAGTTGCACATTACAGTTGTTTTCATGGAATTTGAATTAAATTATGTGGTTTTTGATAGACTAAATAGTGGCAGCAGCAGCAGCAGCTAGCTGTAGCACTTCCTGAGCAGCTTGGCATCTCTTTCTGTCAGAATAAACATGCAATGCAAAAGTGACGTTTGTGTAAAAGGGTTTGAAACAGTGCTTTCACGAGCCTTTGTAAAATAATAAAAATTGAAGGTGTAGGATGACAGGAATCCACAATGGCTTTGTTCAAACTAGTCTTTAGCTCATCAGTCCTTTCTTTCTCCAAACAGAGCTTTTTTTAATGGGTCAGCTACAACAAGTAAGGTTGTAATAGTTAATAACTTTTCCACAGTACCTTATTTTAAAATGGTCAAAATATTCTTTAATTCTCCACACTGTAAGAAAATAAGATTTAAGAAGAAGCATGCCATCGTGTTACTGTCTGAGACTGTGAGAAATCGATGCCCATTTGGTTGAGGAGACATTTTTCAGAAGAAATTGTTTTGCTTTATTGTCCAGTTAATGTGCCTGAATTATCAGGAATTGTAAAACCAGCCTGGGGCTTGGTGTTTTTAGTTTTGTATGTTTTAGGTCAAAATGCACAACTTTGTCATCATGTCCAAAACAGGAACAATCACAAAACACCTTTTTGTCACACATCGTTAAGCAAAGAGGTGGAATTGGACATACGCTCCGTCCATCTGTGCATGTTATTCATGATAATTAGAAAATAAATGAGGAACACATGTCCATTTTGGCACGTGACTACATGTCGACGTAAGAAAGTGTCCTTTCAAAAATTAGGTTGTCATGTCAAAATTCAAGATTCAACTTTTATTTAGACGGATAAATCACATTGAGCCTAGAAGACTCATTTACAAGCGAGACCTGTTTAGACAGACAAAAAAGTAAACAGAAAAAGTCAAAAAAAGATGGCCACCACCTTGTGTGTGTATATATATATATATATATATATATATATACACATACATATATATATATATATATATATATATATATATACACATACATATATATACACATACATATATATATATGTATGTGTATATATATATATATATATACACATACATATATATACACATACATATATATATATATA